CTCTGGATGATCTATATTACAGTTGGGGTCGGCCGATTTCTCCCTGATTTATAGGAAACTATTTCTCAACATGTCTCTTTATTTAGTTTCAATCGGTGTTCAAGATGGCTACCCCATATAGTAAATGTCGGTGGAGTAATCGCATTTATCATATTATCACTTGTACGCCAGCTGACTTTGGCCATTCCCAGGCCTCGCAAAGCAAACCATTCAGGGGAATCCAGACATGTTCCAGGCTACGCAAAAGCATACTATGTTCCCTAATGCGATATAGACTCGCCCAGCGAGATTCGAAAGCCAACTGTTTCGTCAAAACCCAAGCAGTTAGCCAATTCGCTAGCGAGTTTGCAAATTGGCTGCCCCAATACTTCTGAGACTTGCTGTAGTAATTCGCAGCTCTGTATTGTAGGCTATAAAACATATGTTCGCAATTGACTAAATTTGCATAAAACAATTGAGTAAATTTTATTAATTTATTTCAAGTAGAAAGTTTGTAAATTGTGTTTTCTTTCCTCCACAGATCAAGAACCATATTTGGGTGTTTGTAAACTGTTTGGTAGAGAATCCCACATTTGACTCGCAGACAAAGGAAAATATGACACTACAGGTCAAGAAGTTTGGATCAGTGTGTAAATTGAGTGACAAATTCATCAAACAAGTAGGTTCCTACCTCTTTGCTTGTTTTGTTATGAGGGCTGAATATTATATCATGTTTGCTTCTGGTGCCATGGTATTCTTGTTTTTGACTTGCACAATTACTGGCTGTGTGTGTGTGTGTGTGTGTGTGTGTGAATAAAATGCACCAAAAAATAGTGTTGAGTTTGTAACTCTTAATGGAAGCTTGAGTTAAATGTACATTTCTCCTGGCTTTATAATAAAGATTCAAACATGTTTAGTACTATTTGTATAAACCTATTTTCATGTTGTGTTGCATGCCCTAACCACGGATAGTCCTTACCCACAGTCAGCTGGCGCACACATGATTTATTTTTTGGTTTCAAATACCCCAGGAAAGTGTTCTATGTTCTTTGTGTAATTAGGTGTTTGTATTAAAGGGATTTTTCCACACAAAAACGAGGAATTCGGTCGAATTTTGTTATCTGTTGGTTTAATATTACCCCAACAGATCGTATTTCTGTGAAAGATTGGTACTTTTGTCATGATTTGTAGGAATCTGAAAAACGCGTTTCACAACGTTTTTCTTGTTTAGTTTTATGCTGCATTCAAGATGGCGTCCCCCACATAGTAATAATCGTATTTATTGTATTATCACGTGTGCCAGCTGACTGTGTCCTTACCATACATTAATCTGAGTGTAACATGACTTAAGCTAGCATTGTGTTGGCTCATAACTGGCTTAGCTTGTTCTCAAAACTGCCATTCAACTAAATGTGTTTCATTAATAATATTTGGTAAAAACTATGCAGAATAAATAGAAATTAATGAAAATAATGATATTCATGTGATATTCCATGAAAAAAGCCAAATCCCACTGTACTGTGTGTCCATAGAAGCTTTCAATTGTGTATCTTAGAAACACTCACTAGAATCACATATGACTGTGTCTAACCATGGTTGTCCTCTTGAACTATCTTTTGGTTTTTTGTTATCACTTCAGACTTTGACATGCGGAATTGTTGAAAGTATCATGAACTGGGTGAAATTTAAAGCACAGAATCTTCTCAACAAAAAATGCAGTGCTGCCAAACATTCCAAACTAAGAGGTATTCCTAAACTGGACGATGCCAACGATGCCGGGACAAAGAACTCCAAGGACTGTACTTTAATCTTGACAGAGGGAGACTCAGCCAAGACTTTGGCTGTTAGTGGATTGTCTATAGTTGGGAGAGACAAGTACGGTGTATTCCCGCTTCGTGGTAAACTCCTCAATGTCCGAGAAGCCACGCATAAACAGGCAAGTTTTATCACTTCTCATATACTGTAAAATACTTTATTTTCGCCAATGATTGCATAAAAATTAAATCCAGCGAATATGCCTTTTTTCCTATATTTTACATTCAAATTGTCAAAAATCAGTGAAAATAAATTCCATACATAACAGCCAAAATGTCTTTTCAGCGAACATTAATCCCAGCTAAAATAAAATATTTCACAGTAGCATATGGGCTAATGTGCTTAATAATTTTTAGTTTGCTTATTTATCAATGCAATTTCTCTGAAATGCTGCACAATAAATACTTGTGTAGCCTGAAGTAGTACACATTCATATTCCGGTGTACCTTGTACCCAAAATGTTTTATATGCGTCGTGGTGCATGTAATTAGTGTGAAGTCTCATTTGTCTTGCAACCACACGCGGTGAAAGCAATTTTAAAAAATCTGTACTTTGGGCTAGTTATTGAGACTCCTACCTCAACATGTGCAACATATACAAATTTGGGTGTTCAGGATTGCTTCAAAATTGAGTTTGGGCTATTTTCCCCACGACTTTCAGCAGTTTTTATAGACAATTCGTCTCCGCATGACTGTTTGAAATGTACTTTCTCATCAAATTTTGGAAACTAATTTTGCTTAAATTTTGACCGACTAGTAAACAAACATTTAAATTGTATTTTATAAATATTCAGGATTGTATGCGATAGAAAAATGAAATACTCCATGCATTCTAATTATCAAAAAAAAGACCAAAATGTGTCACCATGGAGATTTGAGATTTGCATTTTGTGTATATGTACTACTATACTAATAAAGCAAGTACATTTTTAGCCTTGAAATTTGGTTCACTACAAATACCATATTCAAAACTTTTATATTTTCTTGATTTCAGATAATGGAGAATGCTGAGATAAATAACGTAATTAAAATCATGGGACTGCAGTACAAAAAATCTTATGATTCAGATGACGCGTTGAAAACTCTCCGATACGGTAAACTGATGATCATGACAGATCAGGACCAGGATGGCTCTCATATTAAAGGATTACTGGTCAACTTTATCCATCATAATTGGCCAAGTCTACTCAAACATAAGTTTTTAGAAGAATTTATCACACCAATTGTCAAGGTATGCATGTCCTGTTTGTGATGTGAAATTATTGCACTAACTCCTAGTTGCTTCTATGTTCCTTACTTTGTGACAGAAAAAAATTCATTTTTAAGTGTTTTTAAATGACTTTTTTTTTGAATTTGTACAAACTGACTGCCAACCAAGTCAACTTCTGTCACCTTTAACAAAATAAACCAGCATCAGATGTCGAATATTTTGCCTGCTATAATTAAGTGCAAATATTTTCACTTTTTGTAAATTTTCACTAAATATCATCACAGTATGTTGAACCATACAAACATTTTTGGATATTGCTTTTAGTTTCTGACTGAAAGGTTTGTCTATTTTTCTAAACATTCCATGTGGGAAGAATCAGACTGTACACAATCATTTTGTAGCATGGTTCCAAGTTGACGATAGCACTCAAAATTTTGCTGTGAAAAATTATACTATTAAAAAGTTTATAGTTGTAATTCATTCAACATAAGGGGTACTGTAAAATCTGTATTGAAAGTTGCGGCGTCTATTAAAATGGTACAATGCAACAGAAGGGATACGGCTTCAATTGGAGCATCTACACAAATGAGAAATTGTGAATGTTTGGTACTCAATTGCTCAAAAAAAATGGGTGCGACTTATATTAGAGATGTGGCTTCTAATACCGATTTTACTGTAATAAATGCTATGAATAGCTATGAATATTGACCATTGTGATTGACACAGGAGTTGATTTCAATTTCTAGGCCACCAAAGGCAAAGAGGTGTTTACATTCTATAGTTTACCAGAGTTTGAAGAATGGAAGAAAGAAACCCCCAACCATCATACATGGAGAGTAAAGTACTACAAAGGTTTGTCCCATTTTGTGGAAAAACTTAGACTGAATAAGGGCACATTTTATATGCATGTGTTGCCCTGGAAACCAGCTTCAATGGTAATTTTGTTCTCATGACCTAAACCCACCAGAACTAATATAAATTTTTGACACGAACAAGTACCTCTTAAGATGGTGTATTTGATATTTTCATCCTATATCATCCACCAAAATGTTGAGGGTATACTCTAGCCATAGACTTTGTATGGTAACTTCATATTTATATTTCATTTCTTCTTCCTTGTAACGTGAATTTACTGTAAACCAATTAAATTTCGCGAGATAAATTGTTGCTAGTCATTAAAAATCACTAAAAGTGAAAATTTTGCTCAGTAACTTTCACAAATATGTTCTCATACATGTATATATACTACCATTAAAATCCTATTATAAACCGCATACCTAATAGTAACCGCACCCCCGATTTCGGCTTCAGTGTTGAAGAGTTCTCAACAAAAATTGAAAACATGAACAGTACCTATTAGTAACCGCACCCCCAATTCAACAAGACCGTGACCGACTTTGTTTCAACGAGCTGGTACATTGTTCCTAATCCTATTCATTTGTTTCGACAACGTGCCTCAAAATATTCACACCTCTTTATTGTCCAGTAGTGTTACGATGTCAAACACGCAGTGAAACTGATTTTGTCTTGTGACAACTTTTGTCAAAACTCCTTATGAATACGTCCGCGTGTCGCAAGTTTTCGACAATGAGCTGTTCTCACCGAAAAACTGTTAAATTCTTTTTCAATGATCAGTTTATCTTTTGAAAACAACTAATTTCTTGATTTAAAAAAAAAAGTTGTGTCGTTTTCCCATGAAAATCAAAGCCAAAAGATCGCACTACATTATCGGTAAATCTCTTCTGGGTTTCGTTCACCATGAAGTCGGTGACCTGTTATTAACATATTTAAATGAACTAAGGTAATTTGAACACGTGGGCACCATCCAGCATTTTGATTGGTTAATTAGCGACTTCACCTACCCGGTCAAGTAATGTCTCGTGTGCCTTCAAACTACATGGCGGATGTCGCATCGATCGTTTACATGTGACCGAAATAATTCGCTTATGGTGAAACTAAGTTGAATTTTACTTGCATTTGATAACAATTCAACGAATTTATTTTTCGTGCGTTATAATCACTACTGAGTAATAATCAACAATTTCAACAGTTTGAAAACAAGTAAGTTATTCACTTGTGAGCCGA